GAGAGAGAGAGAGAGAGAGAGAGAGAGAGAGAGAGAGAGAGAGAGAGAGAACAGGTAAGTCGTCACACTCGCGGCTGCCCCACGCGACTTAGGATGAGCAAAATCGAATTGATCTTCTGCTAGAACATGGAAAAATAGAGTGGCCATTTCTCATCCTATCGATAAATCTTCCGCCAAAACTTTTTTTTTTTTTTTTTTTTTTTTTTTGTGTGTGTGTGTGTGTGCCAGAGAGAGAGAGAGAGAGAGAGAGAGAGAGAGAGAGAGAGAGAGAGCAGGTAAGTCTCCAAGGTCGCGCCGATCGATAGGATGAGCAAAATCGAATGGATCTTGCGGTAGAACATGAAAGATACAATACTACACTTTTGTTTGTGGCTACTTCGATGGATAGGATGAGCAAATCCGGGATGAATCTTCCGCTAGAACATTGAAATATACACCGCGACTTTCTTTTTTTTTTCTCTGTGTGTGTGTGTGTGTGTGTGTGAGAGAGAGAGAGAGAGAGAGAGAGAGAGAGAGAGAGAGCAGGTAAGTGTCCAACCTCGCGCCTGGCCTCACGCGACTTCCGCGACAACAGCAACTGCGCCGCCCGCCACCCGGGAAAAAAGGTACAAACGCGCCAACCCAGCCAGCCCCCCCAAAAAAAGGCCGCTCGAAACACGTCTAAACGCGCGCCCGAATTCACGAGGCCTCGAACCCGCGCCCTGCAAAATGTGACGTGAGAAAATGTACACTAAACGACAAAAGAAAAACAAAACGAAACGTTGCACAGCGCCTGTCCCATCCAACCGACGTCCGGGCCTCATTTTTCCTGGGCCCAGGGGAACCGACGTGCGGGGCCCTATCCATCCTTCAGTAGTTAGATAGACACACACACACACACACACCCCTCAAAAAAAAAGCAAGAAACAAAAAAGAATGTTTCACGCACACAGGTTTCGAACTACTCATTGTTATATTGCATCTACGTAGGAACGTGAGTTCGAACCCCGACGGACTTCGAGTCGAGCTCGAAACCCGACTGAGTTCGAAACCTGTGAGCGTGTATCTTCTCTTTCGACGTGAGTTCGAAACCCGACGAAGTTGGAGTCGAGTTCGAAACCCGAGTGAAGTTTCTGTTGTTTACCTTTTCTCTCGAGTTCGAAACCCGACGGAGTTCGACGTGAGTTCGAAACCCGACGGAGTTCGACGTGAGTTCGAAACCCGACGGAGTTCGACGTGAGTTCGAAACCCGACGGAGTTCGA